AGTTGATCACAACTAAGATTTTCTTGATTAAGGCATACCCCTAAAATGATCTGTTTTTCAACTTGGCAAAAATACAAAGGGACTTCAAAAATTTCATGGAATAACTACATTTTATTTCTATTTTTCCACAAACTTTCTGAAGGTCCCTTATAACCAACATAAAAAGATGACTTTGCTTAAGAAATGCTGTTTATCAAAACTTTGCACCTTTGTCCCTCATAGAAGAAACAAAGATTAATGTCAGTTGAGTTGGAACCATCTCCACAACACATCACCACCAAGAAGTTAACTTAGTCCTGGATAATTGGCTACTTTGACAAGTGGCTACCCCTCAAAAAATTTAAATCAGTATACAGACTGCCATCGAGTCAGTTTCGACACACAGCTACCTCCCTTGAACTGCGCACCTTGCTGTTAGCAGTCCAGTGCTTTTCCTACAGGACCCCACAAAAAGCCTGTTGTTAAGTGCCTTTGCGTCAGTTGCGACCCATAGTGACTCTGTATAAGATTTCCTAGGAGCAGCTGGTGAGCTTGACCTGCTGATTTTGCAGTTCAAACCAACTTTGCAGTCCAACACATTGACTCACAGCCCCACACTAGGATGGGGAACTGTTTTTTGGCCAACGGACATTTGGATATTTATAACATCATATGCAGGCCATACAAAATTATCAACTTAAAAATTACCCTACTATATTTGGTCAAACATTAAACTAACTCATTTAATGTGATGGCTGGAACTGCTTCTCTTTGGTGAGGCGCGTGATGTTAGCTGGTATTGATGTTGCTACTTCTTTTCCAGGTTTGTGCTAGTCAGTCTGGAGGCACAGTCGACTGCTTACAATGGTAAGTTTTGTAAAGAACTGCTCATAGCAGTAAGTTGCTTGAACAAAGATGCATATTTCAAGGCATGTCTCCTCAAAGTAGGAAATTCATCACTGCTTATGTACCGTTTCTAGAACTCAGGCAGTGGGAGGTTACTGTACCTAGCTTTCAGCCCATCATGGCTTTGCAGCTGAATGATTTCATGTTATAGATCATCAGGCACATCAGTGGGTCAAAACTGAACAGTATAGCACAGATGTTCAATTCCATTTGTTTTCTGTTCACATCTTTGAATCTTTCATTAAATACCTCAATTAGTTTTGCACACTCACCAGCATATTCAAGTACCACAGAAGGCTTTTGTCCTTCTAAAATGGGGAAATGCACTGTTACTCCTTCCAAGTTGCATTTTCCAGACTTAATTTAGTTTCAAATTATTTTACATTTCAAAGCAGGGAGCTGAAAAGCTGGCTGGGGCCCTGCAGCTTGACAGTCAGCTCTGAGAGGTACTTGGTAATGTCCACCGTGAACCCTATAGATCACATAGCCCCTTGTATTCACTGAGTTTCCTGACAGGTTTTCCCTTCATCTTCATGAACCGCCTGACTTCACCCTGCAGTTCATAAAACCTTATGAGCATGTTCCTGAAACTCAGCCACCTCACTTCACAGTGATAAACAAGATCACCATACTCAGATTCCAGATCATTCAGTAGCTCCTTTAAACTGGTAGCTATTAAGCCCTCTGGCTTTTGAAATAATTTATGTATGACACTGCTATTGACATCACATTGTTGAGTCACGACAACTGTGTACAGAGACTTTCTTGGTGTATGATGCAGTGGCATGTAACTAAATGACTTGGATCAAGGCTGAGAAGATTCAGTTTTTTCTTGACAAATGTAATTTAACCCTTTTTACAAGCCAACCCTGGCTGGAACTCTGTCTGTAGTAAGGCTACTTCAAGTTTTTTCATTGATAAAACAAGTCGCTCAAACAAATCTTCTATTTTTGCATGGCTTCCAATGACAATAGTTCCTCTCACGTGTCAAACTCTGCAGTGATCCCACGAACAAAAATGGCCAGTTGGGCAGTATTTGTTATGTCTGTTGTTTCGTCATAAGCCAGAGAAAAAAATTTGGAATTTTCTTTTTTATTCTTTCATTTTTTTTTCATTTTTTTTTGTTAAGTTCGTTATTTTGTTTTGGGTTGTTTTTGGGCCCCCCCTTGAACCATTTTTCCTTATCTGGTGCTAACAACTCTGCAGCAGCTACCATGCACTCTCACAAACTCTACCTTTACCTGAGGCCTCAGCTTCTGAGATTAGCTCACTCACTACAGAACTTGTCTAAATAATACTGTCTCTGTCATAATAAGGCCTAGTGAAAGCTGCTTGTGATTCCAAACTTTGATAGGGAGACACATCTGGCCTCATAATTCATTGAGTTTACCATGTTTTGAGAGTTATAATGATGCTCCAGCTTGGCTTTTTCCGATAGGAGCTCTGGTAGCGTAGTGGTTACGAATCGGGCTGCGAACCTTGACGTCAGTGGTTCGAAACTACCAGCCGCTCCGCGGGAGAAAGATAAGGCTTTCTACTCCCGTAAAGATTTACACCCTCGGAAACCCTGTACAGGGTCGCTATGGGTCGGAACCGACTCAAAGGCACTTAACAACAACAACAACAATTAACACAATGCCACAAACTAGGCACACACAGATGTGCCTTTGATTTCAACAAAAAAAGCCATATTTATCTGCATCAACCTTTTTTTTCTTTGTAGTTAGTTGCCATTTGTAGGATGTCACACCACTGAAGTTTTAATAACTAGCCAATGTGTGTGTCACCAGCAACATGATTATTTAGCTTTGTTTGCTATTCTAATCCTGCAACTTGGATTTGAAAAATATCCAACATTTATTGTTATCTGTTCTTGAAGTCTTTTCTATGAACTGTAACTTCCTTAATTTTCACCTGAGAGTCACTTTTTGTGATATTGTTGATAGTGGATGTGTGGATAAAGATTGTTGGAGCTATCATCTGAAGACAAAGAAGTTGACATCATCTTCAATCTTGGGAGGCAAGGTTATCAAAGTTGTGAGGAATCATCTCATTGCATTTTGTCTCATCATCACTGGATTGCTGTAGTTTCATCGGTGTGTTAATACTTGCACAACGTGTACACTCCCAGTCTGCCTGGCACTGACTGTCCTCTGAGTCACCGCAATACAGGGAGAGAGCCTCAGGCAGTTGACAAGAAGCATACGTGTCTGTCCTGTCATGTAATCATTTGTGTCCAGTTTAATCCTGTAATGGACGTTCTTTGCTTGTCCCTCAAAATTTTTATGTTACTATTACGATTCACTCAATACAAATTTATGTTGCTATGAAAAAGCGCCAAGATTCAGTTTAGAGTTCCACCTGTGGTTGCCTCGGCAGGGCTAGACCAAATAGTTTCATAGGTCTTATTATGGAACACAGGGCAGACATTCCCCACCCCTGTGGTATAGGGTTTCCCAGGAGCAGCTGGTGGGTTTGAATCACAAATCTTACAGTTAGCAGTCCAGTGCTTATCCTACAGCACCACACCAGGACTCCACAAAAGGCGGCCTGTAAGTTTGTAATTTGAATGAGACTAGAAAATATTTTTTTAAATAAGGCTTAGTGGCACTTAACAACAAAATGGTCACATGAAACAAAACAAACCATTCATGTACATATTTTAAAATACAGTCATAATCATAAAAAATAATGTCTACTCAGGACTTCTATAATAAGCTAAATTCAGTATTACTGAAAACATGTCTATAAAAACATGTATCTACTGCTCAAATACAAAACCGAAGAAAAACTAAACACTTCTGACCTCCTCGTTTTTAGTTTCTCCATTTTCGGCAGGTAAATCTTCTTTAGTTTCTTGGTTAGCAACTTCAGCCTGTTTTCCCTTTGCTCCCCTTTTCCCTTTTGCTTGCACTTTTTTGTCTGCAGATTTATCCTACAACAGGATTAGGTACATGTTAAGTAGAAAAATTACATTAATTATATTCTGCCTTGCTATACAGATCACCATTGTTGCCATCACTACTTAGAATAAATGATGTGGAATAGTTGGAGGAAATCTATTCCCACTGCTATCTAGCATGTGAAAACACAGTAAAATAACTATTGTCCGGAAAAGACTTTTAGCCTCACATTTAAGACCATTAGCCTGAAAAAAGCACCATGTTGTATGGTCAGGTAGACTATCCTGTTACAGTTAATCACTTAATATCATTTAATGAGCAGCTGAAAGGATCAATTTTGAGCTTATCATTTTCATTTAGGTAGTTAAAGAATCTGAAAACTATAGGCATTAGTACGACAATATAACTTACAATAGATTTTAAAATTTAAGCCATCTTAAAGCAAGAGAAAGTATCTTTAGAAATCACCCAACAGGAAAAGCTTAAAAAAATTCATCTCCCTCCACTGTAAAAGCAAACAGTTTCAACTATTAGTACCCACCAAATTCCTGAGCTAGGTAGACCTTACAGGTTCAATGACAAAATGGGGAGTCAGTGCAACGGTGTTCTACACTAAGGGGATTACAATCCCCTCTCAATGTAACATTTTACCTCACTCCTGTTTGTTTGCATATCTCCTCCTTCCCCACCCTCCTGAATTTTGTTCTTAGGTAAAAATGCTGCTCTTTTGATCTTGCATGGTTGACAATTCTTTTGCTTTTAAAAAGATTTCCAACAGAATTTTGTCAGCTTTTTCACTTTCTGTTTTTACATTTGGTTCCCTGTACAATTTAAATAAGCAAAAGAAAACAGTAGTTTTATATCTTTATGTAATAAAAGGATAAACATAATAGCTCTTTAGAATAATAAAAAAAAAAATTTGCCTTATAAAGATCGTTGGTAAGTGCCAATGAGTCAATTCTGACCCATAGTGACCCTGTATAGTGTTTCTGAGGAGTGGCTGGTGAGCTTTGCAGTCCGGTGCCATACCAGGACTCCTTACAATGATTGTTGTTGTTGTTGTTGTTATGTGCCATGGAGTTGGTTTCTACTCATGGTGACACTACATAGGATTTCCGAGGCTGTAAATCTTTACGGGAGCAGACCACCTCATCTTTCTCCCACGGAACTGCTGGTAGTTTCGAACTGCTGACCTTGCGGCTCGCAGCCCAATTCGTAACCACTACGCTACCAGAGCTCCTTACAATGATTATACAGCTCTAAAGGCACTCAGCTAGCGAAGTGGTTACGAAATCAGGCAGGCTGCAAAACTTAAGGCCAGCAGTTCAAAACTGCTAGCTGTTCTGTGGGACAAAGATGAGGCTTTCTGCTCCTGTAAAGACTGACAGCCTCAGATACCCTGTACAGGGTCACTATGAGTCGGAACCGACCCTACGGCACATAACCACCACCACAGGTTCCACCTAAATAACAGCAGCAACAACAACAGAAAGTTTTTAAAATGAGACTGCAAATAGACAACTGTTGCTTAGGTTTTCAGCAGGCACAAATGAATCACCACACCATGAATTTCCCTGAGCAGAGAGAAAATGGCTCCATCACTACATACTCCTATAAAAAGTCTTAAGAATGAGTTATGCCTAGATTGCTTTTCCAACGAAAACACTTACAAAAACATAAATTCATTAAGAGGGGAACTTAAAAAATTTCATTATCTCCTAATTTTAAAACCCCCTCACTTAATGCAATCTACACGGCACAATTAATAGGTCTATTTTGGAGCAATACCTGAAAATATTTTAGAATATTGTTATATGCACAGATAACAACTCTTGTACTGCTTCCACCTAAGATGATATCCATTACCTTGGCTTGGGAATACAATACGCATTAACTTAAACCTCATCGTTATTGGCAAAAGTGTTAAGTCCAAACAAGGTGAAAAGACACACTAATTGTGAAGAATACAACACAATGAATGATTTTCCTTTGTAAGCTACTGAGTTATTACTGAGTATTTTCATTTCTCTCCAGTTTCCTAAATTCTACAATATTAAAGCGATTAATATATAGTCCTGGTGGAGCTCGGTAGGATATGCACTGGATTGGTAATATGTTAACCATCATATTAACCACAAGATGAGTGGTACAAACCCACCAGATGCTCTTTTCAACCCCTATATAAACAAGGTCACTATGCGGAAACAACTGCACGGCACTTAGAACAAGGTGGTATGTTATATAGACCAAGGTGATGATATTCATTATATTTTATCCATTTTCGACGACTCACAGATTATTAGTTACACTTCTACTCTTTATGAGCTGTGTTAAGTGCTGTGGGATTCATGCCATGCCAATTTGTAAGGAGGAATTTGGGGAGTGGTCACCCTACAACCCCACACCAGGACCCCCTTATCAACCATTTTGAGACAACTTATCGATCATTTTGAGACAATCAAAGCTAAATCTATGTTACTAACACAGTCGCAAGATCTCAGTCACTGATAACAGCTACCACCCTGTTGCATTTCACAAACCACTGTTTTTTAGCTAAGTTTTAAAACCTACCTTTCCGGCTGCCTTTTTTGGCTTCGTTTCCACTTTTGCAGGCGCAGGTTTCTGAAAAGCAAAAGTGGCATAAAGTTTCTTAACTGGGTACAACCCCACGGAAACCAAACGACTCCCGGGCTCAGGTTACTTACCGCTGACAACCTCGCCGATCTCCTCTTGGGCTTGAAAGGAGAACAGCAAAAATGAATAACCAGATAAAAAAGAATGCCGTTTAAACGAAACCCGGCCCCAAGGCAGAAGGCACAGGACCCTCACTTACCTCCTCCTTCACCGCCCCTTCGGCCGAGCTGACCTGCGGAGAGAAGCACACGAGCTAATGGGCAAACAAAGTCGCCGCGCGCCCCGCGAACAATGACCGGCCGCGTGACGTCAGCGGGCTTCCCGCCGCCCCGTTCGAATTTCCCACTCGGCTCCTGGGGTCGTGGACCCCGAACATTCCAGACCACCAGTCCCTCGGCCCGACTTGCGAGCAGCCCGCCCGGGCCCACAGCGCCTGCCGGACCCGCGGGCCGCCGGGTGGGAGCCGACGGGTGCGGGCCTTCGTGGCCCGGCCGCCCGGGAAGCGGCACGAGGGGGCGTGTGCGGGCCGCCGCAGCCGCTCACCTTCCTCTTGGGCATCTTGGCAGCGGAGAAGGCGCGTGCGGGGAAGGCGCGTGCCGGGAACCTGCGGGCCGCGGGGCACAGAGAACCTTCGGGAAGCTGAGTTGCCTGGCCGCTGACGCTCTGCCTGACGCCCGAGCTGCTAGGACCCGCGGCGGGGGTGGTGGGAGAACTGGATGGAACCGGATTGGGAGCCCGCCCCCTCCTCCCCCCCGCGTCTCCCGGCCGCGGTCTCCCCCCCTCCCCGTCGGCCGGGCCGCCCCCTGCCCCCGCCCATTGGCTGTAGGGCTCACCCTGCCTCATCCCTGGTCCGGAATAGGTGAGACGGACCGTCACTCGACCACTGCGCCCCGCCCTCCGCTGTGTGTCGCCCCCACCCCTTCTCGCTGTCTCCTGGGGGCCACAGACCCAGGGAATGGGGGGCGGGGCCCTAGAGGCCGTGATCGCCTCCCCGTAGTTTGTTTAAAGCCGAGCCGCAAAGTGCGGTCTGTGACCTGATTGGCGCACAGCCACCACGTGGCCGCGCGGGTGTCCCCACCCACAATCCTCCGGGATACCTGAGCTCCCACTGCGCTGTGAAAGCCTTGGGGCCTATCTTCTAGGGTAGGTCGGGTTAGAGCCTTTACGATGTATCTCGTAGTTTGGGGAGAGAAAAGGCAATGGAAAGCAGAAGGAGCAAATGTCTCCGCACCGCTGTAGGTGAGACAGGCTATCAAGGGTTCCCACCTGCGCAGGCCTGCGAGCCTAGTTCACAGGGCCTAGTTCATAGGCGCTGCAGGGGAGATCGGAGAAAAGGAGCGGGATCTCAGCGGAACCCCACAATCCTTGTACGGCTAGGCCACCGTGGAGGTTCCCCTCGGGGGCAACTCGGAATGCGACTTCCTTGTATGTCACTTGAGATCCTCGGTGCCTTCATCAACTGGAAATGGCAGGCATCTGGTCTCTGGTTTCGGCGCGCTGCGGACCTGCGCTCCTGAGTTCCAGCGCCTTCCGCCCTCTAAGACCGGTGCACACCCAGGGCATTTCTGCACTTAGGGAAAAAGCCGGCTTCTGTGCGGAGTGTTTGCGGGAAACCCACCCACCTTTAACTTCTGCCCTCCTTTAATCAGGTGTGTGGCGCTGTGGGTTAATGCGCTGGATTGCAAAATCGGTTTGAACCGCAAAGTGGGTAGTTCAAGCTCACCACCTGCTTCTTTGAAAACCTAAACAGGGTCACTATGGGTCGGAACCGACTCGACGGCACTTAACAACAACACCACCTAAGCAGTCTCTTAAGGTGGAAAAAAGTGTTCATGCTGGCGTTCTGAACTGGAAACCTCAGAGCCCCTGAGACTGCACGTTACCCTGCTTCTTTGATGAAGGAAGACATCTTAAAAGACCAAATTAAATTAGGTGACCGCAGAAACTTTCTAATTGGAATATTGCTTGATGGAATTCCTGGAGAGAATGAAACATTGAAGTACTTGAGTCTGAACTATGGCACCTTCATATAGTGGTGGTGGTGGTTATGTGCCATGGAGTCGGAACCGACTCATAGTGATCCTGTACAGAGTTTCGAAGGCTGTAAATCTTTACGGGAGCATAAAGCCACATCTTTCTCCTGTGGAACAGCTGGTAGTTTGGTTCCTTCTGGTCGATTACGACTCTTAGTGACCCTATGCAAAACAGAACGAAATGCTGTCTGGTCCTGTGCCATCCTCACAATTGTTTCTCCTTTTGAGCCCATTGCTATCGCCACTATCAATCCATCTCATTGGGAATCTTTCGCTTTTTCCCTTACCCTCCACTTAACAAAGCATGATGAACTTCAGGGGCTGGTTAGCATCATGGTGATGTGCCGTGGAGTCGGGTTTCCAAGGCTGCAAATCTTTACAGTAGCAGAAAGCCTCATCTTTCTCCTGCGGAAAGGCTGGTAGTTTCGAATTGCTGACCTTAAGGTTCGCAACCTGATTCGTAAGCACTATACTACCAGAGCTCCTTCCCTCCTAATAACATGTTCAAAGTATAAGAGACATGTCTCACCATCCTCTCTTAGAAGAAGCATTTTGGTTGCACTTCTTCCAAAACAGATTTATTCTTCTGACAGTCCATGATACTTCCTTTTTTTCAAAGTTGAAATAGTTTTATTGATAATCAGGGATATAACAATTATAAATATGTACGATGTGGTGCTGTGGGTTAATGTGCCACACTGCAAAGCCGTTTGAACTGCAAGGTTGGTGGTTCAAGCTCACCAGCGTCTCCTATACAGGGTCGATATGGATTGGAACCGACTCGACGGACTTAACAACAACAGCAACAACAAATACGTTTACCAACAGAACTCCAAAATATATAAACCATAAAATGGTAGAAAATCAGCAATTCAACAAAAATTATTGAAGTTCTTAACACTCCCACTGTGGTAGTTAGAATAATGCCACTCACAGGTGTCCTTGCCCTATACCTAAAACCTGTTGCTTTTTTTTTTAACCGCTATTCATTTTTACTAAAAAAATATTTTTTTTACACTTACAAAACAAAAATTATAAATTCATTTAAATGTCCAAAGGGCACATTTTGTTTGGTAGCCCCCTGCTGGCAGACACACCACCTATTTCAGTCCATGGGCCAAGAACCTGCAACTGCTCAGTCTCGCCCAGGCCACTGCTTTTGCCAATGGCTCTGCTGTCTTGCTGCTTTTTTAGATAGGAATCTCATACTCTGCATGCTCTTCCTTCTTGATGGTCCTAGGATTGTCTGTTCCTGAAGTGAAAGAATAACTACCTCTCCCCTTTTAGTTACACATCTACAATTACAGTTGTGACAATTATAATTAATACGGCTAATAATTATTCATGTTGAGTCATGAAAGAAATACTATCACTGTCGTTCCCCACTCTTTTCACCATATCTGTCTGGAAAAGTAGGAAACTATCCAGTGGGGATTCTGCCTTACCTCCCTCATACTGAAACTAAGCACACTCATGAAAGTTTATAAGCCAGTCACTTTATGCCTTTATAAATCCTGCCCTCTCCCCCACCAATTTTTGATACCCAATGCCTAAATTTCTCATTCCAATAAGCTCTAGTAGTTGGGCTGGTAACCTCAAGGTCAGCGGTTCAAAACTACCATCTGTTCTCGGGATATGGGAAAGGTGCAATCTATTCTTTATATTTCCTCATGCTTTCCTGGTGACCAGAGATGTGGCCAGCTTCTACACTCATCCACCCCCAGCACAGACCCTGCTCCCCAGGAGTTCAGAGTCACATGGCTGGAAGTCACAACAGTGTAAGGAGGGGCTGGCTGTGCCACTCTGGTGCCTGGATTCAGGTGGGCTCGGTTCCAGATTTATACAACCTGTAGAGCCACCAGACCAGCGTTTAACCAGTCACCCTGCCCCCATCTTCCCCATGGCCCTAACACACTGAAACCAGTTCCATCAAGGGCCTCCACGAACTATTTCTGGATTGAGTGCCTTGAACATTGTTCATACTGAGCCCAAAAAGGGACTCCATGTAGGGCCAGGA